ACATAATGGTGTGGAGAGGATGGCTATGAGGGGAGAAGGGAGGCCATCAAAAAAAGAAAAAGAAAAAAAGAGACAGAGGCCAATTTCAAGGCGTTTAGAAGAGGAAGTGATGAGAAGATAAGTTTATTTTCTATTTAAAGATAAAAACAGCATTTTAATAACAGCTAAAGGTGACATAGATACTTTATTATGGTATATTAAATGTGTGCCTGAGAAACACATAATATTGCCCATTAAAAAAGAGTAAGGTAGTAAACAATGCTCTAATGTCTAAAAGTAACGGACTGATCTGTGTTCAGGAAAGGGAGCTAAAAGAGGCAGTAATCTGCCCTCTGATCAGCTTTGTTGACATCATCATAAATACTGCTGTGGTGTTGTAGTATTTCCTGTCACCATCAGGCCCAGAACAGTGGTGGTGGTGGTGGGGGGGGGCTTCATACAAACTGACTGTTGAACTTTGACATGTTTCAGATGGTCGTTTCATTAGAGCAAGGCTCCTCTAATAACACTGTGATGAGTTTACGTGCCTTTTCTTTCATCATTAACACTGATTTAATCCAAGACTGGCTACAAYGTGTGTGAGTTTGTTTATAAAGATACAAGAAAAACAGAAGATAGTCGAATCAGATAACATGATTCAGTTCACTGATGGTAGTTTAGAAAGCATCAGTGGAGCTAAAGATCTAACCACAGATAGAAGCAGTTCTGTTTTCACTCAGAGGAAGGAAAACAACAGTTTAATTAAAATGCTCATAACCAGCTTTAACTAAAGCTACCCAGAGTTGTTCATATTGACCATTCTGTCTATGTTGTTTATGTTTAATAAAGTCAGGTTTATTATATATATTTATTATATATAAAAGAAATGCTTTAAAATCACGATGGAAATGCATCATTTTTCAATTTTCAGCTATCAAGTATTTAAGAATCACCTTATTGGTGCCAAAATACTATTTTATTTTCTTCTATTTATCATCTTCAGTATTTTTTTAAATAAAGGAATGGGAAAATTTGTGTCTTTGGTCTCTTTGCTAAATTTTCTTTTATGTGTTGACGGTTTAGGAGGCCTTCTTGAAAGTACAAACATATGACATTTTCATGGAACATACTGAAAATGAGTGGAAAAATAGACCAGTTCCAAAACAAACTTTGCAAAAATGTTGCTGATTATAAAATTTTGAAAGGCTATAAAAAAAAAAGTTTAAAAATCCATATTTTATTGTATGATTTTTTTTAATGCAGGAAGACTATCCACTGGTTATTACACTGGTGGCACTTTCTAATTGTGTGAAGATGTCCTGAATGTCTCACAGCTGTTTTTAACGGCAGGTCAGAGTTACGGAGCGACTGTCAGCTGGATGGATTCTACAGAGGAGGAAGTGGCTGTTTGGACCTCCATGATTGAAAACCCAAACCACTGGATCGAAGCGACGCTGCCGGTCAGAACTAACCTCACACAGCGGTCTGTGTGACCAACACTTCCTGCTCTTACATTTACGTTCATAGTGTTTATAAAGTGTTTGGACTGAAAGGAAACTCTTAAATCTGCACATTTAACCTTTGTTGTTATAATTCATACATGTTGTTGTTTAAATATGGTTCATGCACTCAGTGGAGTCAGTAGTTGTACAATAATGTTTTTTAAATAGTTTTCCTGTAGATTTGTCTGCAGTTGAAATCTACAACTTTGTTCAGTCAGTGTTGAATCTGACTAAAACATCTGTGTAAATCATTGTAGTTTGTTGATTAAATATCAAACCTAATCAATGAATGAAGCAGTGTTCTGATTTATTCAAAATGTTTACAACAAAAACATAAAAAGAACAGTTTGAGTTTTTGTTGTTATTGTAAGCACTGTTGCAAAAAAAATGTCTGACTTAAGGACTTTASCTGACAAAATCTAACTTTGTGTTGCTTTAATTAATTTAATTGTTACATTTATGTACTAGAAAAGCTTGCATTTAGTGCATTTTAAATTAATCTGCACAGACTTAAATATATTCTGCAGCAATTGAGCTCCATCTTGTGGTCAGGAATTGTAATTGCAGTCTTTAAAAATAATGTTTTTCCAGTCTTTATTCTTTTTAGAAAACTTTTATTGTTATATGTTTGTCTTGGTTTATTTTATGGCACAGGTACAGGACTAAATATAAATAAAAACGTTGATGTTTCCCACAAGTCAACACATCCATCTGTATCATATACGACGACGTGGTTTGATCTTTTTCTCTCCAGGTTTGAGATCAGGAACTGATTCCACCTGAGAAAGATGACAACATTTATTATTATTATTATTATTATTATTATTATTATTTTTTTTTTTTTACATACAGCATGACATTAAAATGTAATGAATTAGTCACTACCTGCTTCATTGTGTTCCTGATCAGGCTCACAGTTGTGTTCAGCGAGTCATCTTCCATGTCTAATTTAGGTGGTTCTGGTAGTTTTGGTCCAATCAAAGGTTCATTTCCTCCAGAAACATGTGCTGACTGCTCTGCTGCTTCTTCCATTTTGCGTTTTCTCCTCTCCAAATGTTTGGTCCTTGGCAGAAATCTGAACTCCGGATCCTGATTAGAGTTCAGTTTGCATCTTGTGCCGCGGCTTCTGTTGAAGGGTGATGGGTTGGTGCGTAAACTCTCCACTTGTGGCTGCTTTAAGTTGGTAACAGCATTATGTAAAGTCCCCATTTTATCCTCCTTTGGTCCAGCCTCGTGTGCATTGTCACATCTGAAGGAATAATATTCGTGGGGAGGTAATGGCAGTGGAGGAAAAACGGGATGAAGGCTGTCGCTTGACGTTTCCCCTGTCGTTAAATTTTCAGAAACGGGTTCATGTCTCGTGACGACTGTGTCTGATGTGGAGGTGGTTTCTGATGAAGTGGAGCCCTCGTTCATTGCTGCTTTTTCTTTTTTCTCTTTGGCTTCATAAAAATAAAAAATGAACATTTTTTTCTTTAGCGCTTTTAAATAAATGAGACATGTCAAAACAAGAACATATTTTAAATTCACTATGGCAGCAAAAACTCATCTTGTAATTCATCACTTGTTTGAAGTGAGGAAAAAAGTACATGTATAAAGAACTTTGTGATCTAAATGATAATTATAGTTTATTAAACAACTCTTCTAATAAGTGTTCTTTGTTGAACTGAAGTTTTCTTTAATTTCATTTAGGTAAATATGTATTTTTTGTTCATACCTCTGTTCCGAGCTGCTCTCATTACATAACTTCTCCGGTCCTGTAGCTTCAGCCTGGTGTCTTCCACAGTCTCATATTCTGGGACATAACAAACGTGCAGCACACCACCGTAGAAACTTTTCTCATCCATGTTACGTTTCGCTGCCCTGAAACAGAAGAGATGGACCGGAAATGGTTCCAGTGAGCGCTTTCCCAGTTTCACAAAAGTGTAATGGGCAGACACGGTCRGTGTACCTGGCACTGGTTAGTTTCTGAAACTTGATGAGGTAGACCTCTGTGAACTCCTCAGCTGGATACTCGTCCAGAGGTCTGTACTCCTCCACGGTGCCGTACAGAGCACACAGCTGGACCAGCTCCGTCATCACACCGATAGCTGGGACTCCTTGAACCATCAGGTAACGAGACTCCAGGTTTATGGTGTACACCTGATAATATGGAGGACAAATACAGCAACAATAACACTATTATGAAGGGCAACAAAACCCTGAACTATTCAAGAAGCTAACTTTAGCGTCKTTATTTACATTAATAACATTAGCTAATTAAGACAATCATACCTTAACTGCTTTATCTTTCCTCCCTTCCCTATATTTTGGTCGAGAAATGCAAACTTTCTGCTGCTCGTGGTGTTTATAAACCTCAGGGACCTTCCAACAACTAGAGCTGTTGTTGACAGGCGCCGCCATCTTTCCGGAATATCRTTTCCGGTTTACGGATTTCAAAATAAATGCTTATTGCGTTGAATACGGCTGCAATAATGATGGCGTGCCTACGTCTGAACGTCTTATTTTGAAAATAATGAAAAAAAAAATCAGCTACTTTGGTCTGGTCTCCGCAGAGCACACATAGATGGAGCATTGGTGTAGCACTTTTCACGTTAGCAAAAGCATCTTTTTAGTCATTTACTGAGCTAGTATGACAACGTGAACATCATGTTTACTAATCAGGGCATTCAACCTGTAAGTGTTGTTTTTAGCAACGCAAAAAACTGCTTTCTTTACCTCTCCACGAAGTTGATATCGCACCTGTCTTTGAAGGAGGTAAGTTAGCTTAATTTATATTTGTTTTTGCTAAATAGTTTACTTTCAAGAGGCCAAAGGTTAATGTAGAGGTTTTTTTTTGTTTTATTATGGAAAGTGTGGGTTTTGTTTTTTGTTTATCATTTTTGGCTAAAAGTTCAGAGACCATTTAAATATGCTCAAGACAGCTAGCTAAATAAATATTTTGTCTCWACAGATATACACAATTTTCTATCTGCTAATAGAGTTTTATTTCTATTTGCTTAAGAAGTAAGCAGCTCATTGGAGAGTTGTCACTGCAGCATGAGGAGACATTAATTAGAAACTCAGTGCAGCTGTGGGTGTTAGTTTAACAAACTGCTTGAGTCGACAAAAATCACTGTAGCAAATATTTATTTATTATTATTATTATTATTTTTTAATAGAACCAGGCCTTAGAGTTGTCCTGGGGCAATGACTCTCCAGTGTTTCTCAGCTGGACTCTAAATAGAGCATCCTCTGAACAAGATGGCCACAAAGTAGAGCTGTGTCGACAGCTGGGAGAAAAGCTGGGCTTGAAAGATGGAGAGCAGGTAAAGTGTTTTTTTCCTCACGAGCCAGTACAACTATTGTGTGTTGCTGTAAAGGATGAAGAGGTGGTTATATGAACCTGTTGTGTGTCTCCCGTCAGGGCTTTCTAAGACCGTGTCATCAAGCCTCATCGTTGAGCCAGGTGTTTGTGGAGCCTCTGTCAGCYGATGACTGGGAGATCCTGGTGAGCGACGTTCAAAACTCACCTGTGTGCATGTTTTCTGTTTCCCAGAATGTTGATTTATGTACGCAGGAATGCTCCATCTTTCCATTCACTGCTTTTGTAATTAATGCAGTCTTCTAGATTTTAGTGGGACCATTGTTAAGATCTTTGACCTGGTTAATAATTCTGTATATTTTTATTTATTTATTTAATGTGACAGGAGCTCCACAGTTCTGCACTGGAGCAGCAGCTTCTGGATCAGATCAGAGTGGTTTTCCAWGATGCTGTGTTACCTGTTTGGGTGGACGATCACACTGTGATCTACATTAGGATAGGTCTGTAAACATCGCCCTGTTTCAAATGATCAGTCTTGAAAAAAGGCTGGAGATCAGTCTGTAKTCACTGTAAGAAACTGAGTTATTGTCTTTTTTATCAAACATGTTTYATGTCCCTTTATAAATTTATCGACATGATGTCTACRGATTGCATTCCTAAACACGGCATGATCTGTTTTACCTCCACACAGCTTCWCTTACCCCATCTGTGCCCTATGGTCGCCTGGAGCAGTTCACTGAGCTTGTGGTGTCTCCAAAGATCCGAATCAACAAMCTGAGGGATTCTTTTCAGAGACCGAGCCACAACAAGCAAAACTCGAATCCCTCCTCCTCCTCTGAGCCGTCGTCAGATTCCACCTCCCGTCTCCCTCAGAGCCAACAGTGGGGTGGGATTGGGGACTTGAAGAGCCTGCTTCGATATATGATAAAAGGCACTTCCGACCCAGTTAAGGAGGATCCTCCTGTGCCCAGCGTTCCCGTCATCTTCTCTGATTCCATCTACAGAGTCTGTGGCGCACCCCCCGCCTCTCTTTGTTCCGTTAGCCACGGCGCTACTGGTGTTGTTCACGTCTTTCCTCGGAACCCTCATTTGAACACCGCACTACGAGGTCAGTCCGCAGTGACGTACGGTCTTCTCTCCAAAGTTTTATCCCCTAAAGAAGCAAAAGACAAAACCAAGCAGGCCATGGAGAAAAAGAAGAGCGCCGGTAAAGACGGCGCTGCTGTTAAAGGAGAGGAAGAGGAGGCTGTGTTGGTCAGGGTCGTGTGTCACGACTCTGACACGCTGACGGGGGAGAGGAGAGGTCACAAGGGGGAGATTCATGGTGGGAAAGTGTGGGTGAGTGTGACGTGTTTGTGAAGTTGGCTCAGTCCTCGTTTCACGTTTGATTTCATTTACAAAAAGTGCTGTTTGTTCAGATCCCACAGCCTCTGGGCAGCAAGTTAAAAATCCAGCCACACTCAGCTGTGAGAATTAAACCAGCTGGGTCAACAATCAAAGTCGCCTCTAATATTTGTCTGCAGCCTCTAAAACCTTTGGTRAGTCACAGAGTGCACCTCAGCTTGATTGTTTCATTTAGATTTGACTCATCTCTTCACTGTCCAACTTTGATTTATTTTACTTTTCTTCTTCAGCCTGAGGAGAACGATGAAGCGATCCAGACGGCTTTCCTCAGCTGGCTGCACACTCAGAGTCACGAACCTCTGGCCTGTCTGACTGCTCGTTCTGGTTCTGTCCTCCTCCACGCAAGTGATGGTGATTCATTCCTTCACTTATGTTACAGGCTTTACAAGCCTCTTTATAAACAAAACAAAATTATTTTAAGTACATCTATATGGGAAAGATGTAATATTTAAAAATAATTGTCTTTATTTCTGTTTTTAGCAAAGTTGGAATTTGTTTTAACTGTGTTGAAACCAGAAACACAGAACGATCCTGCAGACCAGCTGTTTCTTCTCGCTCCCACTGTTCTCCACAAGAAGGACATACAGGTATTGTCATTTGTACAGTGCATGGAGATTATTTCTCTCTAAAACATTTGTTTTCTAAACAAAGTGAAAAAACTTGTGTAGTAAGGAAACTGTCACTTTCAGGTGGACAGACAGCCGGTAGCAGAGCCTGCAGTAAAAGTAGATGAAGCGACCGACCCAGAGCTCCCCTCTGCCTGTACTCTTGGGTAAAAATATTACTTAAACTAAAACTCTTTCCTGGCATTTATTCCCATCGTATTTCTCACTTTGCTGCTTTTTTCCTAGTGGGATTGATGAGCATATTAGAACTGGAATTGAGTTTATTTCCCTCAACCTTCTGGGCAGCCCCCTCGCAAGACAGCTGTGTACCACTGGTAAGGGGCTCCGAGGAGGAGCGCTGCTCATCACTGGAGCCAAGGTAGATCCAAAGGCCCTGTCACACTGTTTTAGACAACTTATGCCAAGTATGAAAACATTTTATGACTAAATAACTCAGATTTTATATTTGATCTAATCGTTAGCATTGCAGTATGTATATGTCCAAAAGAGGCTTCCATTAGCTTTTTTTATTATTCCATCTTCTGTGTAGACATCTTCAAAGTCAGACAAAATTTTCAGAAGTAATTTAAAACAGGGGTTCTCAAACATTTTGGGTTTGAGGACCCCTTACAAGGGTGAATAAATTCCAGAGACCCCCTCATAAACCCCACRCTGTATTAAAAGATAATTTACTGTCATTGCAACCCCTAAATGCCATGGTAAAATATATTTTTGATTTAGTTTATTATGTTTGTTTCATTAGTTCATTGTTCTCCATGCATTTTTAAAAATAAAAACCAAATTAACAATTTAGCAAAAATTTTAGAGGACCCCCAAGATACCTCTTGCGGACCCCTGGGGGTCCTGGGACACCAGTTTGAGAACCTCTGATCTAATATATTCTACATTGACAGGGCCTTAAGTTGACATAGTTGAATATATAAAAACAAAGAACTCCGGGTTCCTCTAAAGTTCTGAAAATTATAAACTTGGCACAAAAAGTAAGGATTTAAATGTCATTCAGTGGGGGAATAATTTGTGTTTATCTGGTGTGAGAACATTTCAATGTTTGTTCTGAGTATGAGAAGGGCAGGAAATCAAAAGATCTTGTATCTTTTACCTGCTCCTTTTCGAACAAATAATGTAAAAAGGACCTGCCTAGAATGGATTATTATGTTCGAGAAAGATTTGACGGTTATTTTTTTTATTTTACTTTTTTATTTTGATTTGTTTCGTAAAGATTATTATTGTTTGAATTTATTTGATGGAGAAAAGGCACAGATATAAGATTTTTTTCTTCATTCTGCTGCTGTTCATTTCATTTTATTAGTCATTTGTATTTTATTTTATTT